TGTAGACAGGTGAGCTGTCATCAGATGGGAAGTTAGTTAGGGTTTCTGCAGTGAGTTCTAAAAGAGATTCATCCAGTATAAGCTATCAGAAACAATCTACGACATTGAGAATTATGGTTGAGAACATTAGCATTTTAAATATTCATCATTTCTTCTTAAACTGTTCATGAAAGAGTCAATATGTCAGAGTTTTATGTTCTTCCATTATAAGAGACATCAATGTCCTTATTACTTAGGAGACTTGTCTGAACACTTCTTCCAGGTCCAAGATGGTAATGGGTATCCATCCGAGGAACAGGACGCCTGACTCGCTGATGCTTCCGCGAGCACTTGAGGTTTCCTACAGAAAAGAAAACGTGTGAAATAACCTCACTGGCTGGGCAGAGTGGTTCGCTCCTATAATACCAACACTTTGTGAAGCCAAGGTGGGAGGATCACTTGGGCCGAGGGGTTCAAGACCAGCCTGGGCAACATAGCAAGACCCTGTCTCTGAAAAATAAAAATAAGCTCATGGAGCATGGTACTTTCTGGAAATAGTTTCAAAGTTGCCTACAGTACAGGCTACCCATTTACTCCGGGCAGTTTGTGCTTCCGGGAGGATGTCTCACTCAGAATGACTCCAGACCTCTGGTAATTTCTTCTTTCCTCCTTGCCATGCAACCTTCTGGTTGGGCAGCGTTGACAACTCTCTGCTACACACCATTTTCCCATTGCCAGCCTCCCCCTGGAGAGAGCTGAGGTACAGACCTCCACCTGCTTGCACGACTTAAAATGATTCTCAGCTTCAGAAGAAGTTGGGCTTCTCATTGTTTTGTAAGCCAAAGAAATGAAAATTATTAAAAACAAATAAATGAGAGATAAAATGACTTTCAGCCTTTCCTTAACATGCCCTTTCAAAATACTAAAATCAATAAAGTCACAACACGAATTCATATTCAGAGACAATGTGAAATAAGTCTTTCAGCCTCTGAGGATACACACAGAAAGAGATATATGGCCAGGTGCAGTGGCTCTCGCCTGTAATCCTAGCACTTTGGGAGGCCAAGGTATGAGGATCCCTTGAGGCCAGGAGTTTGAGATCAACCTGGGCAACAAAGGGAGGCCCCCTCTCTACAAAAATGGTTTTAAAATTAGCTAAGCATGGGGGAGCGTGCCTGTAGTCCCAGCTACGTGGGAGGCTTACTTAGGAGGATCACGTGAGCCCAGGAGTTTGAAGCTATGGGGATTTATGATTGTGCCATGGCACCCCAGACTGCATGATAGAGTGAGACCTGGTGTTAAAAATGAAACAAAACAAAATAACATCAAAAATAAAGAGATATATGATCGATGCCAGTGGATATGAGAATAAAATTTCTTTTTTTTTTTTTTTTTTTTTGAGGCGGAGTCTCGCTCTGTCGCCCAGGCTGGAGTGCAGTGGTGTGATCTCGGCTCACTGCAAGCTCCGCCTCCCGGGTTCCCGCCATTCTCCTGCCTCAGCCTCCCGAGTAGCTGGGACTACAGGCGCCGCCACCACGCCCGGCTAATTTTTTTGTATTTTTAGTGGAGACGGGGTTTCATTGTGTTAGCCAGGATGGTCTCGATCTCCTGACCTCGTGATCCGCCCGTCTCGGCCTCCCAAAGTGCTGGGATTACAGGCTTGAGCCACCGCGCCCGGCCGAGAATAAAATTTCAAAACACTTCAGCGTACAAACACAGTTTTGTAGTACCCCTTCTAAGCCATTACTTAGCTCTTCCTAGTTAAGACTAATAAAGAATTAAGGAATTAAAAAATAAAAATGAAATTCTTGGCAATTTAACTTACTTCTTATATTCAGCGTGAACATTTTGGTAAATTGGGCATCACCATTTTCTGCATGGAATATATATTCTCCTGGCTGGTGCTTATGATTGCAAAACTTGGATACGCTGTTTGAAAAAGAATTAAAGACAGATTTAGCCTGATTGCTACAAGAGATGCTGCAACTAATGACAGTGTGCATGGGAGGAGTCTTCCTTGAAATGCTCCTTACTTGCTAAAGTTCACTGGAAAAGGAGATGTCCATATTCTAGACCCTTGCTACTCAAAGTGTGGTCCACAGACAGGCAGCATCAACATCGCCATTGGTATCATCTGGGAGCTTGTTACAATTGCAAGATTTCAGGTCCCATCTCAAATCACTGACTCAGAATCTGCATTTTAAGATGATCACCATGTGAGTCATATGCCCACTGAGAGTTGGGATTGACCGAAGATCCTCAGTGAGACAAGGAAGTTCCTGCCCCTCTTGTTCTGGATAGTCTGACTTCTCAGACCTTGTGCAGATGGAGGAGCCTGTAGTTCAGAGGTCCCCAACCCCCTGGCCACAGACTGGTACCTGTCCATGGCCCGTTAGGAACGGGGCCACACAGCAGGAAGTGAGCAGCAGGCAAGCCGGCTTTACCGCCTCCTGTCAGAGCAGCAGAGGAATTAAGCCTCACAGGAGCACAAACCCTACTGTGAATTGCGCATACCAGGGATCTAGGTCGTGTGCTCCTTATGAGAATCTAATCCCCGATGATCTGAGGTGGAACAGTTTCATCCCAAAACCAACCCCTACCCCCAATCTATGGAAAAATTGTCTTCCACAAAATGGATCCCTGGTGCTGAAAACATTGAGGACTGCTGCTGTAGCTGCCCTGCTTCCTGAAATGATGGTCCAAGGCAGGAACTATGACCAACCCTTGACTTACATAGCAATGAACCATGATGAGGACTCAAATCCACTGAGCTTGTGCAGAAACTTCTGAGTGCTCTCGCAGGCTCTAGTGCCTACTTGGAGAACTCATCAACCACTCAATATTTTGACACGGATAACCTGATCTTGGGGACTATCCACCACGCCCAGCAGGCCTGTGGGTTGCTGGATACTGCAGTGAGATGTTGGATGATGCAGGAGAGGCAGGGGAGCAAGGAGCTGTTGAATATGCCTTCATGCACTCACAGTAACAAAATTGGAGAAAAAGAAAATAAATTCCCTTCAAACAGAAAAATATATCTAAGGCTTGTTCCGAAGATAGCTAACTCAACCTCCACATAGCCTACTTAAAGTTTTTTGTTTTGTTTGTTTGTTTTCTTGAGACGGAGTCTTGCTCTATCGCCCAGGTTGGAGTGCAGTGGTGCGATCTCGGCTCACTGCAAGCTTCCGCCTCCCGGGTTCACGCTGTTCTCCTGCCTCAGCCTCCGGAGTAGCTGGGACTACAGGCACCTGCCACCACGCCCGGCTAATTTTTTGTATTTTTAGTAGAGACGGGGTTTCACCGTGTTAGCCGGGATGGTCTCGATCTCCTGATCTTGTGATCCCATCCGCCTTGGCCTCCCAAAGTGCTTGGGATTACAGGCATGAGCCACCATGCCCGACCTAGCCTACTTAAATTTTAAAATACAAAAAGACCCTGACCTGGCAGGTTAGGAAGACGAGTCAGAGTGGACGCAGCTTTAGATGAGAAGTGTGGAGGATGCAAAAGACCTAAAAGTATAGCTATCTTCAAAGATACCTAAACTGGGTGAGTAGACAGGATCCATACAAGTGGAATCGTTAAAACATTAAACTGAAGACCAGCAGATGATCAAAGAAGGCAGAGGTCTGTGTTGGTGGGAAAGGTTCAGGGGCCTTCATAGTAGGAGGTAGAGCTTTGAGCTGATCCTCACGAATGAGTTGGTTTTGGTAAGAGGGCAAAAGAAAAGGCATCCAAGGAGGAGACAAAGGAGCAACTGAAGGTGCCAGACAGGAAGTCATAGGGCACAGTGAGGAGGAACAGCGAGCCTCTCACGGGAGCAGAATATCATGAACAGTATTTTATTTACTTATTTATTTATGTATTTATTGATTGATTGATACGGAGTCTTACTCTGTCGCCCAGGCTGCAGTGCAGTGGCACAATCTCGGTTTACTGCAACCTCCCGCCTCCCAGGTTCAAGCAATTCTCCTGCCTCAGTCTCCTGAATAGCTGGGAATTACAGGTGCCCGCGCACCAGACCTGGCTAATTTTTGCAGTTTTAGTAGAGACGGGGTTCACCATATTGGCCAGGGTGACTTCGGTCTCTTGACCTCGTGATCTGCCTGCCTCAGTCTCCCAAAGTGGTTGATGAATTTACACATTTAAAAAATACAAATTACTTATTTTCCTATAACAATGCGTACTGCCCTGAGCATTGCAATAAAACTTTTTTTTTTTTTTTTGAGATGGAGTCTCACTCTGTCACCCAGGCTGGAGTTCAGTGGCACGATCTTGGCTCACTTGCAAACTTTTCTGCCTCCTGGGTTTCAAGTGATTCTCCTGCCTCAGCCTCCCAAGTAGCTGGGATTACAGATGCATGCCACCATGCCCCGGCTAATTTTGTATTTTCGTAGAGATGGGGTCACCATGTTTTGGCACCTCGTCTTGAATTCCTGACCTCGTGTGATCCTCTCTCCTTGGCCTCCAAAAGTGCTGGGATTACAGGCATGAGCACTGCACCTAGCTTAATTTTTTTTATTTTATGTAACTTTTCTGTAGGATGGGGTCTCACTATGTTGCCCAGGCTGGTCTCAACTTCTGGCCTCAAGCCATCCTCCCACCTCAGCCTCCTAAAGTGCTGGGATAACAGGTATGAGTCACGGTGCCTTGGCCTATGAACAGTGTTTTATATTCCCTGCTGATGGAGCAAAGTTAACTGGAATTTTAAAGGCAGTCGTAGCAATTCAAAGACTCATTCATTCATTCATCAACTGTCAATATTAGACGTGTTTGTGATGGAAATTGAGGACACAACAGCAAATTCCAAAAAACTGGGTTTCTGTTCTCACAGAATTTACAATTTGGTGGGTGAAGGTAGAGGGGTAATAAGCAGTTAGAGTGTGGGAAGTTTCTGCGATAGAAGAAGTAAAAGTTCAGATTTGAGGTTTTGGAGCATGACAAGAGGAGTGTTGTTTAATGTAAGAGAATGGGAAAGGAGAGAAAAGAGCAAACCCAAGAGGCACCAGAAAAAAAGAATGGCAGGGCTGGATTGGATACAGAAGATAAAGAGGGGAAGAGAATCCCAGTTGGTCCCCAAGACTCAAAATACGCCTGTAATCCCAACACTTTGGGAGGCTGAGGTGGGTGGACTGCTTGAGGCCAGAAGTTTGAGACCAGCCTGGGCAACCTAGTGAGATTCATCTCTACCAAAAAAAATCCACAAAATGCCACTGCGTAATTGCAGCTTTTGAGCCCATGTTTGTGTGACACCAACGTTCTTGACCTGAACTCCTAAGCCAAGGTAATTCTGACTGTGTGTTGTGAACGAGAAGAATTCATCTCTCTGACCTATCGAAAGTTCAGGCAGTTAAAGGTTGACCTTTGGGTGGGTGCAGGGGCTCGCATCTGTAATCCCACACTCTGAGAGGCCGAGGAGGATGCATTACTTGAGCCCAGGAGTTCAAGATCAGCCTGGACAACATGGCAAGACCTGTCTCTACAGATTTTTTTTTTATTATTTAGCTGGGTGCGATGGCACACACCTGTGGTCCCAGCTACTCGGGAGGCCGAGGTAAGGGAATCGCTGGAGCCACTGTACTCCAGCCTGGGCAACAGAGCAAGACCCAGACTCAAAAAAAAGGCTGAGCATTGAATAAGGTGTTTAACCTTGTTTTACTTTGTTAACAAGAAGTCTAAAGAAGTAAAAAAGAGGAATTTCTTATCCTGACCTATTTCTGGACAAAAAGGAGGAAATCACTGGTGAAGTGGAAACAATAGAAAGATCAGGGGAAAGCCAGATTACGACCCTAGGGAGGAGAAGAGGAAACAGAGCTCCATGCCGGTGCCCGACCTCAGGAAGGCAGTGTGGAAGAGGCTGGCATGGAAGTGGCCCAAGAGAAGAAAGACGTGAAGCTCTAACAGGGAAAGTGTAATTCTCTCTGGACTATGGACCCCAAAGACCCTGAAAAAGGAGAAAAGAGGAGATAATAAAGCCCAGTGTGGGCTCACCAGGCACCATGTCAGAGACACCAGTCATTCAGTGGAAAAAGAAATGACCAGTACAATTACTTCTCATGAGGCAGACCAAAGCAAAATGTTTCATAAACGTTTTTCTTCCTCAGTCTTCTGTGCTGTCTTAACAGAGTGTGGTTTGCCACGGTTTAGAAGAGAGAGCACCTGAAATATTTTTCACTCTTCTGAACAAACACAGGTAGGAAATTGGTCACATAAATGCAGGAACACAAACTGAATATCCAGATCGCTTTAAACTACCTTCCTCGTGCTTATGACAGTTAACCCTGGAAACAATGACAACTACAATGACAACTGTGTCCTGACCCCATGGGAATTCCAAGGGGGACTAACCAGTTTACGCTGATTGGGAGATGCACAGCTTCCTCTTTCACCTAGGGGTTTTCTATAAATGGCCAGTTGACAGGAGACGGATGTCAGGGACATTTTGAGTTTTACAGTGAAACAGTATCTTGGTGTCTAAGAAGATGCGTTCTGGTTACAACTAAGAAAAGGGGTTTCTTGGCTGGGAACGATGGCTCACGCCTGCAATCCCAGCACTTGGGAGGCTGAAGGAGGAGGATCACTTGAGGTCAGGAGTTCAAGACCAGCCTGGCCAACATGGTGAAACTCCATCTCTACTAAAATACAAAAATTAGCCGGGCGCGGTGCATGCGCTGTAATCCCAGCTACTCGGGAGGCTAAGGCAGGAGAATCGCTTGCGGTTGAGGTTGCAGTGAGCTAAGATCATACCATTGCACTCCAGCCTGGATGACAGGCGAGACTCCATCTAAAAAAATAATAATAATAAATAAAAATACAATATAAAAAAATAAAAACGTCAAAGAAAGAGAAAGGAAAAAGTAAAGTTGATACTCATCAACAGGAGTTAAAATAAAAATTTCTAAAAAGTGGAATACTATGCAGCCATTAAAACA